AACTGTGGAACACACAACACTATTTATACACTCATACACTTATTTATCTAACACACATACTTAGTCTACATTTCAATTTTGCACTAATATACCTGTACATACAAAACTGTCTATTATAATATACCTGTACATACAATTGTCAATTTGTATATTGTATTCCTTATTTACTTGTTCTATATTTTATTTTTTATTTTTTTTTATCTGTGTTTTTGTTCTGTCACTCTGTTGCACTGTGGAAGCTTCTGTCACGAAAACAAAAAAGTTTTTATTCTTTATTTTTACACAGCATTCATTGCAGTTTACACAGATCATAACTTGATCAAAAGAATACATTCTCTGGGCTCTAGTGTGTTGAATTCTTGATTATCAATGGATATGTGTATTGTTTGTAATAGTTCTGTAGGAGTCCCTTAAACTGCCCTTAGTGAAAAAGCAGGTTCTCAGCATCATATAGGCAACGTAGGACACAACTAAAAAGTGCAGAAAATGCTGGGAAACCAAAGAATGTGCAGTAGCTCAAGGATTTTGCTTAGTAACAGTGAGCACTTTTATGTCTCAGGACAAAGCAGGAACTCATGAACAGCGCACAAAAAATACAGTCAATGATCAATGATCATCCAGGAAGCCAAACATTATAAAAACAACCAGGGGGATCCACATTTTTGTTCAGTTTTCATTTATGTTATTGTGGAATAGATGCAAGTATCTTCTGTTAAGTAAAATAGCTATATTAGGCTATTTTACAGTTCTAAAACTGAGCAATGTAAATTCCCTCTTATTTTTGCACGGCATATGGAGAACTGTCATGTGGTAATATACTGACAGCCTCTGGTTGCCCTGGCTAGCAATAATTAAAACATAGCCTAGGCCTATATGTGGCCCTTTTTTATGGATAGGATATTAAATGTTTAACGTTACACATACGGGGATACACGTCAACAGCTTAGGTTGCATCATTAAAAATAGCTATCATTTACATATTAGCTAAATATAGGTCCATTGGCCTTTAATGAAACATTACCCACCTTGTCCCTTTTCATGAGGATGATGTCCTCTTCTGGAACATATCCCCAGCAAGCAATAGCCGTCATTTCAACGTCTCGTTTAAGTATAGACCCGATATAGTCCGGCTATGTGTAACCCACTTCAAGCCCAAATAACCTTGAATTTGGTTTCATGTCGTTTTTTGGCAAAATAACTTGTGAGATGTATGATATTCCATCATGTAAGCAAAGTCAACAGCGTTTACAAGGTGTTTGGTTTCATTTCTTTGTTCAATACGTAGCCTGAGCGTAGCCACGATTTAGCTCGTAGTCCGAGCGGCTATCTGTAGCCCACTTATAGTCAAACCTGATTCACTGTAGTTTTTGGCCAGGCAGCGCATGAGATGGTTGATATCCCATCATGTTCGTAGTGTCAATAATATCTACAAAGATATAAGTGTCATTTAATGACATGGTCTATATGTAGCCACGATTTAGGTGTAAATTGGACGGGCTATGAGTAGTCTGCTTTTAGCCCACCTGGCAAAATCGAGGCAATCTGTGGTCTAATTTTAACGGCTTGGCTATAGCCCTATACCAGTAACCAGACCAGCCATGAGTATGGCCAAAATAGCCTTAAAATTTGTGTTGTTATGAAGTCAGACAATTTTGGAGGCAGAGACAGATTGTGGGGGGCACTAATAGGGAAAAACTTAAACTGTTGGAATAAAGAGATTTAAAGGGTTAGTGATAGAAAACTTGCAGCTCAATGGGCATCAGTGTTTAAGGTTGGTAAACACTTGTACACGGACGCATATAATACTACCCGTCTGACATTGGCATGTGTTATTCAGGTGTCATAGTTGTGCAGAATTGAAGGAAGAAACCACAAAGACAGTACCAGAAGGATGCTGGACAGGTAAAGCCTACAAATCTTGCCACATTAATCCAACATTGTGGTGTCAATACTCAATAAGTTACAACGCAAATCAGAAATGTAAAAAATAATTCCTTTACTGGTCATTTTGAAATGTCAAACTTTGTCCGAAATTGTTAACCACCTCAATCTGTATTATATTTTAGGGTTTTAAAAAAATTCCCTCATGTCCAAATTCAACATGAAGCGGGGTGGTCCGCTGCAGAAAGAGGCATTTGAAAAGACTTCACTGTTCTCGGTCATTAGAGGTATGTGTATAAAACACACAACATTTACCAGAGAGCTTCTCTCTGTTTTAACACACTGAATGGTGATGCATTATATATGTCTCGTTTTTGTTTTTAGTAGGCATTAGTGTTGTCAAAAGACCCGGTACTTCGGTACCAAGTCGGTACTAAAAAAATGAAAACGTTACAGTACCAGGTTTTTTTAAGTACCGGTGGTACCGATGACTAGTCTATTCTTGGGCTATGGTTAGACGTCTATTAAATTTTCACTGACAGCCCAAATTCAGCCTTTTTTTAGCCTAGACCCATATTCACTGTCTATTAGACATATATATGTAGTCGTTTAATAGCGGTCTATTTGATGACTAGTCTATTCTTGGGCTATGGTTAGACGTCTATTAAATTTTCACTGACAGCCCAGCCTTGTTTTAGCCTAGACGTCTGGGCTGTGTTTAGATGGCTAATAGAAGTCTTTTAAATGCAAAATTGCTTGCTGGGTCGTGACCTTAAAAACTCCTGCAGATCGTCCTCCATCGCAGAGCTACAACAATTATCATTAATAATTATTTTATTGTAATCACGTGGAGGTTTGTTTTATTCTTCTACTGTTGCACTGTGGAAGCTTCTGTCACGAAAACAAAAAAGTTTTTATTCTTTATTTTTACACAGCATTCATTGCAGTTTACACAGATCATATAACTTGATCAAAAGAATACATTCTCTGGGCTCTAGTGTGTTGAATTCTTGATTATCAATGGATATGTGTATTGTCTGTAATAGTTCTGTATGAGTCTCTTTAACTGTCCTTAGTGAAAAAGCAGGTTCTCAGCATCATATAGGCAACGTAGGACACAACTAAAAAGTGCAGAAAATGCTGGGAAACCAAAGAATGTGCAGTAGCTCAAGGATTTTGCTTAACAACAGTGAGCACTTTTATGTCTCAAGACAAAGCAGGAACTCATGAACAGCGCACCAAAAATACAGTCAATGATCAATGATCATCCAGGAAGCCAAACATTATAAAAACCAGGGGGATCCACATTTTTGTTCAGTTTTCATTTATGTTATTGTGGAATAGATGTAAGTATCTTCTGTTAAGTAAAATAGCTATATTAGGCTATTTTACAGTTCTAAAACTGTGCAATGTAAATGATCTCTTATTTTTGCAAACTTATACACTCCTAGGCCCTATAAGATAACTTTTATTACTAGTGAACCAGGTAACTATCGAAGGTACATCATTTCTGATTGTACATGACACTTGGCATGTGGAGAACTGTCATGTGGTAATATACTGACAGCCTCTGGTTGCCCTGGCTAGCAATAATTAAAACATAGCCTAGGCCTATATGTGGCCCTTTTTTATGGATAGGATATTAAATGTTTAACGTTACACATACGGGGATACACGTCAACAGCTTAGGTTGCATCATTAAAAATAGCTATCATTTACATATTAGCTAAATATAGGTCCATTGGCCTTTAATGAAACATTACCCACCTTGTCCCTTTTCATGAGGATGATGTCCTCTTCTGGAACATCTCGTGACCTTAAAAACTCCTGCAGATCGTCCTCCATCGCAGAGCTACAACAATTATCATTAATAATTATTTTATTGTAATCACGTGGAGGTTTGTTTTATTCTTCTATTTAAATAATAAAAAACGACTTTAATATATGATAACTTACCGCGAAAGACTGACAACCTTTCTCCAATGCAGCTGCGTACATCCAAGATCACTCAAGTGATGCTATACCAACAAAAGCGCGAAGCTTTGCGAGAGCAAAAGTTTTGCGAGAGAACGCAAAAGATTTGAAAAATATTTTTTCCTCCCACGCCGAATTTTTTCCACCTACCCCGAAATTTTTCCACAACCATGTCCCTTTAGGGGCTCCGTACTTTTGTGCAATAGATAAACATTTATTTGTTTTAGATATTTTATGTTTAGATATTTCTGTTTTGCGGGAGTCCCGTGAATCATTTTATTCTCCCGCATCCCGCACACACACATCTTGTCCCGTGCCGCGCTCTGTTGCGTCGGGTCTCGCGGGAGCAGGTCTCTAATCCACTGGCACTTGACTCGACAGTGTGTGTGCTACATCCTTTTTTACAATATCTAGATTATAAAACACTGCATTATGTCAGCAATGTAACGCGGCAGTAACGTATAGAGACCTCGGCTTGTAACTATACTCTAATTACTATTTTGAAAATTATAACGCGTTAAATTACTCCGTTACTAAAAAAAGTAATCTAATTACAGTACAGTTACTAAGTAATGTGTTACTGCCCAACACGGATTAGGACACTTTAAAATACCATATGACCTGCTCTTTAAGTAACTTCTGTAGCTTTAATGGATATTTGTGTATATTTACTTCAATTAATTTAGTTTTTTTTTTTTATCTTTGCATCTAGTGGTCTCTCTGAGGGCTCAGCCCCCCTGTGGATGAAGTCCTAGAACTGCCCCTGTATAGCAATATGACCCAGCACCCAAAATACTCCAATGCAGTCTCCATTCTTCACGAAAGATGGATAAAAAGGCGCACATGAAACAAATCTTGAAAAAAAATTATATACGACCCCGCCAAATTCAGGCCAAATTACAGAGATGCTGATTCGCACGGGACTAATATTATCACAGGACCTCGTGGTTTGTAGGGACATTTCAGAAATAATTGTATGTTGACATTTAGGATAATTCTACACGTCTTTATAAACGAGGCCCCAGAACTCATATTTTACAATCAGATGTCACTCAGTGAACCATTAAAAAAAAGAAAAAAATGAAACAAGACTGTGAGTCAAACTATGAACCTCAATCACTGAAACATTTCCTAAGACCTCTATTGGTTCTTCTATGTTGTCAGTTTTACTGTAACAGGGGTTTCCAGTCTCGGTCCTGGAGCGCCGGTGTCCTGCAGAGTTTAGCTCTAATGCCGAGTTCACACTGCACGATTTTCAAAGACGTTGCATCACTGTTGGTTTCACACTGAACGACTATCTGAGGTAGCATTCAGTTGTCGCTACAAAACCCGCCCAATTACTACTCAAAACTAGCCTGAAAATAGCCCAATAGCTTTCGAGGGGGTCCCCCAGTAAAAATCGCGTTCTGGGTAAAATACACATTTTTTTGGCGGGGTTCTCCTGGTACAATATCAGTTATTGGGGTCGCTTCAACCTGCTGACATAAAAAACAACCGGCGGCAATCGCGGATTTGGCAACACTGGTCCGCAAACTACGTTTCATATAACTCCTCCCCGAACTTCCCGCTGCCCTGTATCGTGCTCTCTCATTGGCTGTAGGTCATCGCCGATGTGTTTTTCAGTCAGAACTAATTTCCCACAGTGTGATTGTGAATCGGCGACAGCTCCAGATATTTAGCATGCCAAATTTTTCACGGGCGTCGGCGACGTGTCGCGATTCCCTCAGATCGCGTCTTTTTATTTATTTATTTTTTTTTTTTTTTTTTCTCTGAAAAATCCTATTGGCTTTTTGTCGAGGGAACCAGTGCGATGCTAACAGCCGATCCGCCTACAAGTGACGTCATAGTTCCCCCACTCTATTGTACTTCCACTCTACAAGCCAAGGTGATTGGTCTTCAGATGCTCTGAAAGTCACGAAAACAAATTCCTCGTATGTGTAAACATACCTGGCAATAAAGCTCATTCTGATTCTGATTCTGATTGATAATTCACACTGTGTGATTGTCACTCGCGTGAACGAGCACCGATTTGCCTCCGATTTCGGGCATTTGTCGGCGATTTCGCAAAACCTGTCGGCGAGTGAAAAATCGGGCTAAAATCGTGCAGTGTGAACTCGGCATTAGGTGCTTCCAAATATGGAATCAAAATACCTCAGTAGTAACTGAAGAAAAGTTATACAGACTAATACAGACCTGCATTAGTTAATCTATTACGCCTTTGGGGCAAAGATTAAAAGCTTGACGTGAAAAAGATTAACCCAGTAACTGTTTTAGTAAGCCTTTTTCTGCAAGTGTCTGAAAAAATGAGCGCGTCAGATTTCGCTCGCTTGGTGATGTGGCAAAAGGATCTCATTATAATATCACCGCCCCTTAATCTGTAAATTTACATTCATGGCGCAGTCATTTTGATTTCGCAAGCGACAATGGTGTACCAGCTCTAATGCCATGGCGAAATTTTGAGCAAAACCAGGGCTGGACTGGGACAAAAAAATCGGCCCAGGCATTTTTTGGTCCAGGCGGCCCTTTGGGCGGTGTTATGCAAATCTTCCCACATAGTGTGGTAGATATGTGGGGGCGTGTTCGAACGAGCCGTTTTAGGGGGGTGTGGCTGATAACTTTCTTTTATAAAGAATATCTCTTTGGATTTGAGACTTTAGTCTTTGCAAATTTACAGATCTTCTTTATGCACCAAGAGCTTGTAACACTCCAAAGAGAAAGGAAAAAATGAAATCGCATCATATGACCCCTTTAAGTAAATAAATAAATGAGAAAAATGTCTATCAATACAGGGAAAATGCTCTTACCCGTTGTCACCTGGACTGTATCTTCTAGTTGCCCATGGGGTCCCACATAAATGACTGCCATTAGAGTGGGACAAAAAGTAGTTCATTCCATATGCCCTCACTTTGTCACTTCTCTTTCTTACTGGATGTTTAAGTTGGTTATCCATCATTATTTGTGTCTGCAGCCGCTGATAATGTTGTTGTTAACTGTTACTGACATTGTGCATATGTTCAGTAAAGTTAAAGTGGAGTTTGGCTGGATTTGCGCCAATATCACCAGTGGCGGATGAGGAATCTAATGGTAAAAGATAAAGGTGATGAAGAATCACTACCGTTGACTCCGATAGCAGTGATGGGAAGTCCAGTTCTTTTAAGCGAACCGGTTCTTTCGGACAGTTCGTTTCAATGAACCGGTTCAAAAAACCGGTTAATCGGTTCTTTTACGCCCTAACGTAATGACGTCATTCGCGATGACGTAATGATATCAAGTCTATCGTCCCGGGCCGGGATGAAAATACACATTCAAATATATAAAGTCAGTAATCATAACTTCAGTCAGTTAAAACATCATAATCATGATCTGAAAAGTTTATAATTAATTTTTGCAACTAAGCACCCAAATACAGTAACAGGCAGTGATGTGCATACCAGGATTTAAGTCTTGAAGTTATAAAGTAAATAAATAATTTGTCATCAGCGCAGAAACCATAATCCACTTAATATACATACTCCATTGCGATTTATTTGTTATTAAATTAAATAAACTTACGTTTCGCCAGATTGCCTTCATTCATGTGGAGACGTAAACCGTTTCAAACGATTCAGTCCGATTGGGTGAACTAGTTCAACAGGTTCACTAAGAAGAACCAGTTAAATCGAACGATTCGTTCGCGAACCGGACATCACTATCCGATAGGGGTGACATACGGAGGTGCAGGATCAGAACTTGCGTTTGGAGACCTCATGGCACCACTATCATTATAAGGCTGATTGGAGTAGATTTTAAAAGGCTTTCCAGCTGTGTTGGTGGGAACCAGCGAAAACTGCTTCATAAAACTGGCCGCCAACGCAGGTGTATTCACCCGCAGCAAGTGACAGTGGTTTCGCCTTTGCGAGGTTTCCCATACACACATCCATAAAGCGTTGGCAGGTCCTTTCTGCTCGGCCTGAATCCAAGCCACCCGAAGATTCATCCAACTTTACCGTTACAAAGCTCACAAGCACTCTCTCGTCTAAGGCTAGACAGGCGTCCACAAGTGTTACAAGACGCTGAGAATAAGTTTAAAAATCCCGGGAAGAATAAATAAACCGAGAATCTTCTACGTGAGCTGCTTTTCAACGAATTGTTGAATCCAGAGCATTCCATCTCTACTGGAGTGCGCATGTCTCTGAAATGTAAACTCTTTCTGGAAGCGTGACACACCCCCCTCCAATTTCCACACCCATTTATTTATCCAATCCAATAAAAATGTGATGCGAGCATTTACAGCGGAATTTCTAGGATTATTTTTCTTCTGCAATTTAGTGAATTATTTCCAATTCTCTCTCTCTCTCTCTATATATATATATAATCTTTAACTGGTAAGAGTTTTTAATTTAATGTTATAAAAACTTCCCCACATTCATAAAAATTAAAGCAACCTAGCATGCCAAAATGATAATAACAAGCACTAAATGGTGGTTCAGCCTGCAACACAATTTGAGTGGGTCTGCAGCTGGAAAGTTCCGTTATTAAACAACGAAATGTCTTACCAACATAGATCATTTCAACTGTATTGTTAGATCAAATTGACATTCCTTGTCACAGCTTATTGCTCCCAATAAATCGCAGTCAAGACAGTTTAGAAGTCAAGTCTTTTCCACCACCATGGAAGTCAAGCTTTTTCAGTCACGATTTACCTTCAATTCCTAACTGGAATTTTAGGTCAAGGTTCTCTTATTGTTTTTAAAGCAAAACCTGCCATGAAAATACTCAGAACTAAAATTATAAAAGGCTACGTTACATAAGGAACAACAGTTTCAAGTGTCTAATCAAATCAAGACAAAAGCAGATAATGTATCAAGAATATTCTAAGCAGAAAATGATTTTTTTTTTTTTTCACAATTTTAGCCTGAAAATAGAAACACAAAAACATTTTTAATTTCAATACAAATT